CCGCCCCAAGTGCTGACCAGAGCGAGCGCCACATAGCAGCGGTGCCCCGGTTTTTTTTTAATATGACTTTTGCATCTCATGGAAGAACTCTCGACACAGGACAAAAGAGCATCACACATTAGGAAATTAATTTTCTGTCACACACATACACGTTTTCTACCAAGTATCCTGACTTAACTTTCTTTCAAAATTACGTTCCTTGCAATTTCCTTCAATTAATGACGACAAACAAATTACGTACAAAGGATAGCATAGCACTTTAAAATGTAGATTCTGGAGTTGACTCTACCCCCTTCTAGCTACAAACTTTTGGACAACTTACTTAACATTTACTAATTAGATTTTCTAGTCACAGGTAATTCCAACAGTGCCGAACACGGAGTTACTAATAAATCTGATATATGTGCAATTTTGAACTGAGAACCACTTATACTGAGAGGCATCCAGACCCGCCGAAGAGTAAAAGGAGCAGAGATGGGAGAGGGCACAGAAAGTAGAGGACAGCGAGCAAAGAGCCCAGAATGTCACACCCAGTCCCTCGGGCTAATCAGACTCCATCCTAGAAAGTTTCTGGGCCTCCTGTCTCTGAAGAAAACCCAACTGTGAAGTTTTTTGGAGCATCCTCTTGGTGGGTTCTGTCATGAGAAAGTCCCAAATGGGGTGAACTGAGTTTTAGATCTGTTTCTGATAGAGCTGGCCCTGTGGGCTGGTGAGGTCCTGGCTGACTCTGTTCTTGGAATTTTTAATTGTATAATGATGATGTCAGTGGACCGATGAGCTGAAGTTTCAAAGTTAGGAGGTTCTGTTTTGGATGGCTTTCCAGGCATCTCTCCATTCTAAACCTTTCACGGCTTCTCTGACATATTCCCTTTACTGTGTGTGAAGATTCTCACAGTTTGGGAGTTTAAAGGTCCTTTTTTAAAAAGCTGGTTAGGGCCTATCTGTGGTGGCATTCATCTTTAATCCCAGCACTCAAGAGGTAGAGAAAGTCAGATCTCTGTGGGTTCAAGGCCACCCTGGTCTGCAGAGTTAGTTCTTGGACAGCCAGGGCTACCCAGAGAAACCCTGTATTGCAAAACAAAACAAACAAACAAATAGAAGCTGGCTTGGGGGCTTGCCTTTACATTTTGCTTGAACTTTGTATGAAATCTTTCCTGGTTTCCTGATCCCTTCATCCAGACTTGTTTAGTTTTAGTTTGGCTTGGTTCTTTTGCTTGTAGAGAACACCAAAGACAAACACATAGACTGAGTTATTATGAAGGGAACATACTATAGTCATGGCATAGATCAAGAAATACAGCTCAGTATAGCTGTGAGGGCATACACCTTTGTTATACTGGCACCTGGGTGCCTAAGGTAGGACCCAGGGCTACATAGTGAGACAGAGATCCTATGGCTCTGGAGTTACTACATCTGGAGTTGCCTGACGTGACTGCTGGGGACCAAACTCCTGTCTCCTGCAAGGGCAGCTTGCACTCTTAACCACTGAGCCATCTCTCCAGCCTTGCTAGTCTCTTACCCAGTTGTGTCTTCCAAGGGTGCGTCTTGCTGGTGTCTATAACTTGATGTGTGTTTGGAGTCTTTTCCTTACAATTAATCTGTTGAAGAACTTGAGGCCTCTAGAGTTCCCCAGTGTGGGAACTGCACATTCAATATAATCTGGGCATCATGCTGACTGCAAACTGGCAGCTGATCAGATCTCATCAGACTGGGGTTTGATGCCTCTTGTAAGATTGTAAGTGGTGACATACCTTTTCACCAAAAGACACGAGATGTCTGCTGTGTGTGTGTGTGTGTGTGTGTGTGTAGGGTTGTGGTGTGGTGTGCATGTGCACCTGTGTGTACAGATACAGGCATATGCATGCATGCATGCATGGAAGCCAAAAGTTGACACTCAGTATGTTTCTCTACATTGTTCCACCATACTTTTTTGGGACAGGTTATCTTACTGAACCCAGTGTTATGGATTCAGCTGGGCTGGCTAGCCAGCATGCCTCTACAATCCAGTAATGGGATTACAGGTGTGTGCGGCCAAGCCCAGCTTTTTCCAAGATGCTTGGGATCCCAACTCAGCTCCTCAGGCTTGCACAGGAAATGCTTTACCAACTGATCCAGCTCCCTTGCCCTAGCTTTTGTTTATTTTTTAGGTTAGTAGCAGTAAAAATCCAATCCCTAGATTAAATAATTGTTTGAGGATTACAATAATAATTTTGTTTCTATTTATTGACTGAATACATTTATGAGAAAATACTTCTTGGCAAATTGGTTACCTACTACAAGGTAAGGTCATACAGAAACATCTGGAATATTTATTACCACTCCAAAAGGGAGGAATCAGGGACTCATGAGGAAATACCGGATCAGGACATGACCAAACCCCAGGAGGCAAGCTCCAAGTCCTGTAGCTCCACATTCCACCTCGCTGCCTACGGTATACACCTTTCTCTTGGTCTGGTTCCACTTCTTTGCAGAGAGCTCATGGGTCTGTCACCTCCAACATCTTGAGGTCTCCACTGCAACCAGCTCAGGCTTTGCTTTTCACAGCTTCACATAGTGGCCTCTTAGGGTCCCCTGCCCACTTAGGGCCTTCATCCAGGGACTTTCCTGCCACATGTTGCTTGGCTTTATCGGCCCCCTGAACTATCAAGGAAGAATCTATCACCCCTGGATGTAGCCTTTGTGCCTCTAAATTCAGCACCACATGGGTGACGCTGCAGAGTTCGGCTGCCAGTTTGGGATATTCCCTGGCCCCTTGGATCACATTAACAGAATTCTCATTGAGTTGCTTTCTAGGAGCAAAAAACGCTTGAGTCTTTCTTTCATCAATTAAAAGCTTCATTGGGTGGGATCTTAACTCCACCCCCAGTACCTTTCCCTTAGAGCAGGCCTCTCCTCAGTGGCATTTATCTCCTCAACAATTAGTCACAGCCTCTCTTCCAGCACATGCCTTGGCTATACCATTAAGCTTCTTCGGAATCGTTTTCTCTCCAAACTGTGTCTTTCCTATTTCTTTCTGTCCCACTCTCACTTTTTCATGTAAGTCCTAAATAAGCATTATCAGTAACAACCATGCCACAGACTCAACACTATGTTGTCTTCAAATTTTCTTCACCAAAGGAATTAGACTGTTACTTTTTCATTTAGCCACATGAATGTTCTTGGGACAAGGGCAGAAGGCAACCCGATTTTTTGTCAAAACATTACAGGAATTGCCTCTAGCCCATTTGCTGTTAAAGTGCTTGCTTCCCTCTGAAACCCTTGACCTGAATATCTACAGTCCACATTGCTGTCATTTACACTGACTTCTAGTTTCCTATTAGAACTATCTTGTAAGCTCTGCCAACAGCATTCAACTGCTCTTCTTTTCTTTCTTTCTTTTGGGTTTTGCTTTCTTTTGGGAGGTTTCATATATTTATTGGGGACAACAGGGAAAGGGTCTTCTTCCAGCAGCTGGAGTATTCACAGGTTCTTCAGTCATTACAGGCTTGAGCCCTGATGGTCTCAGGGGTGGCTGGGCATGTCCCATTATCTCACACAGGCACTGGGTTGTTGTAGGGAATGTCTTGGTTGGTCATAGTGGCATACTTGGTGTTGGGGCTGACTGTGGGCATAATTACATCGAGGCCCCAGACAGACATGGACACCACCACTGGCTCCTTTGCCCAGACATTCTTGAGGAAGACAGAGAGTCTCCTAACTATCTTTGGTCTTGGCCTCAACTGCCTTTCTAGTCCAAAGTTCCAAAATCTTTCTCACTTCTTAAAAACAACAAATCCAACATGGTCAGGCTCTTTACAGCGACAGCCCACTCTCTGGTACCAACTACTATCTTAGCAAATGAAGTAGGATTAGTCTACACACCCTTAAAGCCTATACCAGAGACATACTTCCTGTTACTTCTCTATGGCTGTGATAAAACCAAGAGCAACTTCTGGAATTGAAAACATTGATGATGTCTCAAAGCTCCAGAAGCATGAGTCTATCATGGCAGAGACGTGTGACACCAAACAGCAGACATAGTGACTGGAGCAGGAAGTGGAGAGATTGCATCTCAACCACAAGTACAAAGCAGAGAAAGCAAACTGGAGACAGGATGTGGCTACATCCTCTCAAAGCCCACCCCCAGTGACATACTTCCTCCAGCAAGGCTGTACCTCCTAAACTTTCCAACCAGCATCATCGACTGGAGAACTAAGTGTTCAGTGCCTATGTGGGGATATCTTGTTATACTCTAACAAAGTTTGCCTCAAGATCAGAGGGCAGAGCTAGCCACTAGTTAACCATAGAGGTCTGGAGGTCTCAGAAGACAAACAGGAAGTGATATGGCTGGGAGGAAACAGGAGCTAGGTCTCTTTCCAGTCTGAGGATTCAGTAGAGGTGAGAGCTCTAGTGGCTGGCTGTTCTGCTCCTCTGATCTTCAGCTTTTATCCCTAATATCTGACTCTGGATTTTTATTATTAAGACCAATTAGAACTCATGCTATTTGCCCAAGCTTTACAGAGGGCATTTCTAATTCAAACCACCACATCCATGTATTGGGTTTGTATCACAGGCCTTTCAGGAAACTTAAATCCTCTGTTTTAAATAGTCTAAAAGATCAGCAACAATGGTTTTAATGGATAACTATGAATTTGTGTGATGGCCTTCTTATTTTACATTCTGTCAGCCTTTTCCCCCTATATTATATTATAGTTCTAGTAACCTGTGGGTCCTCTACTCCCCGCCCCACTAACCATTGCAAGCATCTTTCAGAAAGTGTTTAAATAAGAAGGGCCCCAATAGCCTCATATATTTGAATTCTTAGTTATCAAAGAGTGACACAACTTGAGAGGGATTAGGAGGTGTGGCCTTGCTGGAGTAGGTGTGACCTTGTTGGAGGAAGAGTGTCACTGAGGGTGGGCTTTGAGGTTTCAAAAGCCCTAAGTCAGTCCTAGGGGCTCTCTCTTCCTTCTGTCTGTCGATGTGGTTATAGAACTCCCAGGTACTTCTCCAGCACACATCTGCTCCTCCTCATTGGCTAACTATGTGTCAGTATTCAGGACTCATTAACCTTTAGGGGTGCCAAAACTCCTATCTGTAACCTGGTCATATCCCATCCACTGTCTGATTTCAACATCTGTTTTGTTTCCAGTAACAAGTGTGGAGAATGAATCAATACATTCATTGTATTATTTATTTGTGACAATACATTTTAATAAGTACTAATTGCTGTTAAACTGCTTTAGTTGCCAATTGACTGGATTTAAAAAAAATAACTAGAGGGCTGACAAGATTAAGGCATTTGTCATCAAGTCTAACAACTTGAGTTTGATCCTTGAGACTCATAAAGGCGGAAGGAGAGAATTGACTCTACAAAATTGTCCTTTGACATCTACAGGGGTGCTGCAGCATATACCCCATGTTATAATCATATATAGATGCATATATAGATGCATATAATAATGATAATTAATACATTTTAAATAAAAATGAAAAATAACTGGAGAATTGATGCAGGCACGTGCAACCTGAAGGCAGACCATGCACCACACATGCCACAGGTGGCCACCAATGCAGCCCAATGCAAAATCATAAACCTCAAATATTGAGGTGTTTTTTTTTTGCAGGGGGGGTAGAGGGGTAAGGTGGGGAAACTTGGTTGCATGGTACTTGCTGGTGAAATGTGCAGACAGTAGTGTTCTGTCATGATGCCAAAAGCCTGGATATGTCTATTACAGCGCTTCCTGGGGTGTCTGTGAAGATCTCTCTCCAAGAGAGATTGCTGCATGACTCTGGACTGAAATAAAGGCTCACTCTCATTGTGGACAGGACCATCCAATCTGAACAACAACAACAAGCTGAGGGAATGTGTCTTGCTTCTTCCTGGCATTGGGGCACTCATCTCTTGCCTCTGGAGCTCTCTGGCTTTTGGACTTGAGGACGTAGAGAAGTAGTTCTCCACATCCCCAGGCCGAGAGGAAGAGCTTTGTGCTCTCTGGTTCTGAGGCCTTCACACTACTTGCACCCCAGTGTCTCCAGCCATACCCAGCCTGTCATGGGACTTCTTAGTCTCCGTGATTGTATGAGCCAATTATTCTAGTAGAGCCTCTCTCACAACTCTATTTCTATATCCTGTTAGTTCTGTCCTCTAGAGAAACACAATATTATGAGAACAATACTCCCCAACCAAATAATCTCATAACAAAATATATTTTTAAAAAATGTTTTATGTGTATGGGTGTTTGGCTTATATGTACATCATATGTGTCTGTTATCCAAGGAGGTCAAAAGAGGATGTCTGAACCCCTGGAACTGGTGTCACAGACAATTATGAGCTGCCAGGTTGGGGCTGAGGACTGAACCCAGGTTCTTTGGAAGTTAAATCCATTGGGGGAAATTGCTGTTTTGTATTAGTCCTGCTCATTTTAGAATGGCTCCCACCATGTCCATGTACCCATCAGAAAAACTAATTAGGTCAACAGCCCAGGCCTGAACAGAGCCTGACATTAGTAGGTTAGCTTAGATAGCAATGGTCCTGATTCCAGGGCCCTGTAGCTCTTCCAAGGCTCGTTTCTCAGCATGACCACACTTAAATAGCCTTAGAAAGACGTACATCTAGCTTTCTCCTCTAGGAAATGAGAGGCAGCTGCCAATCTATGCATTCCAGTGACTGATGTCCTATCTGGGAAGTTTTCTCATATGCTTATAGTCATTCATGATGCTAATAGAAACCCACTCAGAGTATGATGGTGACAGAAATTCTAAATGCTTATGAGTAAATTTAACTAAATGATCCAAGATCTGCATTTTTAAAGATGGACAAAAGTATTAAAAGGTACATAATGGGGTTTGAATAAACTGAAAGTCACATCCTTTTCCTAGGAAGAAAGACTTCATATTAAATTTAATTCTAGAAATTTTAATAAACAATTTCATTGCCATTGCAATTAGAACTCTAATAGTTTTTCCTTGGAAGTAGATAAAATGATTTTGGATGTAAAATAAAGAATACCAAAGAACAGCTATGAAACCATTGAAAGCTGTAAGAAAGGAGCTGAGAAGATGGTCACATAAGCATGACCACCTGAATTAGAATCCCCAACATCCACTTAATGCCAGATGGGCATGGCAACATGCCTGTCATCCCACAGTGACACAGACAGACACAAAGGACCGCTGGAGCAAGCAAACTAGCTATACTAGCTCCAGATCCAATGAGAGGCCCAGCCTCAATATATAAGATAGAGCGTAATTGAGGAAGGCAACAACAGCCTTTGGCCTCCACACGCGTGTACATATGTGCACATTCATCTGCACACACATATGTGCTCCCTCATATGAAAACGTTTGTACACACATGAATATGCACCACATACAAATATATACATAAAAATGTAAGAAGAGAAAGTGTGTTCATATCAAGTTGTTAAAATATCAAAACTACTACCAAACTGAATTCAAATCAATATGACTTTAGTAAGGACATAAAATGTATTCATGGCACAGAGTAAATAACTGATAGTTGTGCAGCATTGGTTACTAGAGATGTTTGTGAGCAAGCTGAGCACGGTGGTGCAAGCCTTTAATCCCAGTACTCGGGAGGCAGAGGCAGGCAGATCTCTGTGAATTGGAGGCCAGCCTGGTCTACAGAGCGAGTTCCAGGGCAACACAGAGAAACTCTGTCTGGAAAAAAGTTTCTGGAAACAAAATTCATAGTAATATGTCTGAGAACCTGCTATCCTGACACCACGAATCCCCTTCTACACAAAGTACCCTCTGAGAGGCATTGGCCAGCAACTATATAGAACACAATACAGAGAACATAAATCGTTCACTAATAGTATCAAAGGACCCACAAACATGAACTCGCTGAAACTCAGTAGAAACCAGAGAAATAAAAATGAAAAGTAACAAAAGCGTCACAACTGTAACAGGCTGAAACATATCAATTAAGTTTAACTCAAAACTTCATAGTCATACCAAAAAGAAAGGTTTAATAGAATCACTTTGAATTTCTAGGTTAACTTGAAGAGTAGCCATCTTTATCTATTGAGACCTATAACCCATTAATATTGTATAATGCTTCGTGTATTTATTCTATAAAGATCTTGTTAATTTCTTATGGGATTTACTGAATCTTTGGTGACAAAATGATCTCTAGCTTAGGCAGACAACAACATAGAATGGTAGAGCATACATCAGTGGCTAAACAGGGTGATACTTTGTCAAGTGTGTATCTATCAACTTGCCTTAATTTCCTGTCTCAACCACTCCATTTCTCTATTCTAAGATAGCAAGTGCAACCCACAGGAGAGTGAGGGGTGTTACGATAAATCTTTCTGCCAAAAGCCGCCTGAACCCCACCGCCACGTGAAAGACAGGGTGGGGGTGCAAGAGGAGGAAGAATAAGAGAGGAGAGAAGGAAGGGAAGAGAAGAGAGGAGAGAGGGGAGGAGGGGAGGGGAGGGGAGGGGAGGGGAGGAGAATGCAAGGGAAGGGGAGAACAAATAATGGTTATTTTTTCTCCATCCATTGAAGCTCTGAGTTTGAAAATTATTTCTTTTACCAGTTTCTTCCTGCCAAGCCGAAGTGCCACCCTGCAAGAGGGTCTGTTCTGCTTGATTTGGAGCTGCTGGCTTTAAGGTCTTTGCATTTCATCGTCTCCTCTCTCTGGACCTGAAGTTCACAGCCAAGTGACCTTCTGGAAAGGATGATGGGGTGAAAATGCATACTTGGCTGTGTGCACCTTCCTGAACAGCTGACTACATTCTTCATTAAGATGTGAACAGACACATGTCCCCTGCTTCAAAGGGGACCAAGTTCTGGATAGTCTGTGGTATTGCTTGTCTCCTTGGAGTCTTCATGAGATGAAGATACAAAGACGGTAGGACCCACACTGAATGCCAGTGCCAATGTGAGAAAACACATTAATTTTTAATCATGTCGTGTGATAAAATTGGCCGAGTGACAGGCAAGAATCTTGTTTTATTAGTCATATGCTAGACAAAGATTTTAAGAACAGTGTGTCTTCATAAAGCAAAGGAGAACTTGAGGAGCTTGGCCCAGTGCACACAGACACACACACACACACACACCACACAGATACACACACACACACACACACACACACACACACACACACACACACACACACACGAGAGACCAGAGGCAGTCAGCATTCATCAGGATCATGTTGAGTACAGAGCAATTCTACGTTATCTTATTTAATACATACAATGAATCCCAGAGGGAATTCTTGGGTATTATATCATGGTTCTCAAGACCCCTGGGGGGCCCATGTGTTCAAGCAGTTATGACAGTCAGTTGACATCAGGAGGAAAACATAAGAAACTAGACTGAAAATTATTTTACCTGGTTTAAGATGTTTTACCTGGTTTAAGATTTACCTGGTTTAAGATTGCAGCCTCAAGGAAAATGAAGTGCTTTGGCTTCATGGTAAATGTGAGCTTTTCTGTAAGGACAATTGACTATTTGGTCAGCACCATAGGGAAATGTCTATCCTAACATGATGCCACTTTAACTTTAGGAATGACGATGTGATTACCTGGAAACTGCAACCCCAATATGATCTGTAGTGTGATATGATGGCTCAGATAGCCAACTCAGTTGCCCATTTTAGGACAACTGTAACAAGATTATAGGAAACATCATTAGACCTGCATTTCATTTGATCAGATCAGATCCACTCATCATTGCTGGATCTACAGTTTAAAAGACTCATTGACAAACTGGATGACACCAGAACAAAGGCAAGCAGAATGGTAAATAAGAGCTCTTTAAATGCCACAAGCCGCAGATTACACAGTGCCCAGTTTTAAAACGCTTGGCCTCCATGTATCCTTCATACAAATCAATCAGGAAGGCTGGTGGGTAAGTTACTCTGCACTGATGATATGATTAAGTTTCTGTCCTATTTCCTCTCATAAATATTTAAGGATCTATACTTTTTCAACACATGCACAGCTGTGTGCAAGTGTTTACCAGCAAAGTGAATTCTGCCTCAGAAAATAATAATAAAAGAATAAGATTTCCAAACAGTAGGTTAAGGCTAGCAACTTAGGTGTAATAAAGTGATGAACAAACTGTTATGGGTGTGTAACACCAAGTTAAAAAAAAAAATCCAGGGACACCTAGAGCCCGGCTGTCAGGGATTTAGTGAAGTCTGAGAGTAATCACTAACGCCAACTGTATGACAGTTACTAAGTGCCACAGGAAATGGAAACTGAGTAAATCCTAATCCTTGTCCTCAAGACCACGCAGGGTAGAGAAAGAAGCCTGAATGTGAACCGGCCATGAGGCAGACACAAGCAGTATGGTGGGTTTGAGCAGGAACTTGTCACTGGGCAAAATGGATACTGGATGTGCTTGGGGTCACTCCAGTACTGTTACTATAGAAGGGACTCCCTCTAGTTTTGAAGATGGCCTTTAAAGGGTTTTGAAACTCACCCTGTAAGTTCGTCACAAGTTTCCAAGATGTTACCATCTTTGTAGTTCTTTGGGAAGCCCAGCTCAGATCAACTGCTTTAGGTTAATTTAAGCCCAATTCCCCTCAAGTTGAGTTTTAAAACATGGGGAGAAAACTGTGAGGCTTCATATGTAAAGTGAGCTTTATTCTCAGAAATCTTAAGTCTGAATAGAAACCAATGGGCTTGAATAACTAAGTGAATGTTTGTGCCAATAGAATCCAATTCTAACTGGTTGCCTGCTTAGATTCTGAAAGCTGTGTTTGTAAGTTTAGAAATGGTCCCCTGACTTCAGTGAAAACTCAAGCCAATGCCTTCACTATGTATCCGGTGGGATCCCTGCATGGGGAGCTTTGTTACATACTTGGTTGTTTTAGGTTGGCTACATGCTTTTCTACCAAGGTAGGGTTTGGAACTCTGCCTTGCTTCCCATGTGGTTGAAGCAGGCCTTTAGAACCCGTTAAGACACTTATCACCAATAAAACATCATTAGTAGAAATAAGTATAGATTTCTGGAAAAGGAATCAACTTAAAGTAAGGGGGAAATACGCACTGAGTGTTGCTTGGTCGTTTTTTACCTTTGTTTCTTCCACAACTCCCTAGCCCAGAACTGGAATTTTCCCCAAAGCATCACAGAATGAAAAATCTTCCCCCTATATTGAATTCTCACCTACTTTCTCTGATAGTAGATCATAAGACTCATTTCAGCCCCGTCATACCCCCTAGGAGGAATGCTGTACAGAAGCCAAGAATTTAAACAGGCTTGCTGGGCTTTCCTCACTTGGTCTACTGGCATTAGATGTTTTTTGTCCAATCATTTATCTGCGTCAGTGTTTCTCAACCTGTGGGTTGTGATCCCTTTCAGGGTCAAATGACCTTTTCACAGGAGTCGCCTAAGACCATTGGGAAACAGATATTTACATCACAATTCATAATCAGAAAAATTACAGTTATGAAGTAGCAACAAAGATAATTTCATGGTTGGGGTCATCACAGCCTAAGGAACTGTGTTGAAGGGTCGAAACAGAAAGATTGAGAACCACTATCTACATGGTTGTCTGTGCTTCAGTTGTGATCCTGCAAAGACATCTCAGTGAAGATCAGGGTAGGGAGAGCTTTTAGGCTGCTGGATTATGTGGCTTGTAGGAAGATGAACAAGAACAAATGCATGCACCTGGAGGAGAGATTACCCCAAGTTAATGGGGACAGAAGCTGTAGGTAGCATCCTTCCAGACATTGTCCTATTTATCTCTTCTGGCAGTTTATATCCTTTACAATAAGTGTGTTTTCTTGAGTTTTGTGAGCTGCACTCACAAACTTAGTTATTTTTCTATTGCGATAAAACACCATGACCAAAAGCAACTTGGGAGGAAAGTTGCTCTTAAGTCGCTCTCCATAACTGAGGAAGTTAGGTCAGGAAGTCAAGGCAGGGATCCAGGGGCAGAAACTGAAGGCCATTGAGGAATATTGCTTACTGGCTTGCCCCCCCCCCATGACATCTGATCAGTCTTCTTTTTGTTTCTTTTTGGTTTTTCAAGACAGGGTTTCTCTGTGTAGCCCTGACTGTCCTGGACCTGTTTTGAAGACCAGGCTGGCCTCGAACTCAGAGATCTGACTGCCCTCTGCCTCCCAAGTGTTGGAATTAAAGGTGTGTGCCACCAGTACTATGACCATCCAGTTGATCAGTCTTTCTTATGCAACCATAGACCATTTGTCCAGGGATGGCACTGCCCCCAGTAAGCTGGGCCCTCCCACATCAATCAGTAATCAAGACAATGTTGTGGAATATTATTTTAATTTAGCAAAGGTGTGTTACACTTGTGTATGTTGCAGAATATTACTTTAACTGTGTAAAGGTGTTACATTTGCTTATGGTGCATTTGTTTAACTATGTAAAGATGTGTTACATTTGTTTCATCTTGCCTGCCTAAGGCACCTGATTGGTCTAAAAAAGCAATGAATGACCAATAGCTAGGCAGAGAAAGGATAGGCCAGGCTGGCAGAAAGAGATAAAATAGGAGAAATCTAGGCTAGAGGGAATGAGAAGAGGAGGAGAGAACGAGGGACAGAGTAACACACCCAGGGCCAGAAACCAGGCAGCCGTCAGCCAGACAGACCTAGAGACAGCAGGAAAGTAAGATATACAGAAAGAATGAAAGGTAAAAAGCCCTGAAGCAAAAGGTAGAAAAAGAGAAACAGCTTAATTTAAGTGAAAAAAAAAAAAAAAAGAAGCTAGCCAGAAACAAGTCTAAGCTAGGCTGAGCATTCATTAATTACTAAGAAGTCTCCGAGTCATGATTTGGGAGTTGGTTGGTGGCCTAAAAAGAAAAGGCCTGGCACAAGACAATACCCTATAGACTTACATACAGAACAATCTTATGAAGTCATTTTCTCAATTAAGATTGCCCTTCCTGACAGCTCTAGGTTTATGTCAAAATGACAAACACTAACCAGCACACTATTAAGGGGCTCATAGGAGTCCTGATGTACAGCTAGTTGGTCAGTTGTGGACTTGTGACTAGCATCTAAACAAGGTGTCAGTCTTCTAGCAATGAAACCACAACCTGTTTGAATACCTCCAGGGGGAGTGTCTGAACTGGATTGGTGTTTCTGAACAACCGTTTGCTGGCTGCTGAGGTGAAATTTCTATGCATTCTGAGATCACAGAAATGTGTTGCCAGCAATAGTAAGAGAAACTTTCTTTATCTTCAGAATTATCATATAAAAGATCTTGAGGATTTACTTTAATTTTTTTTTCTTATTAGTCTACACATTTAAATGTGTGGACATGGATTTAGCAGGGTGCACATATAGAAGTTAGAGGACAACTCTAGGGGTCTGTTTTCTCCTGTCACCTTCACATGATTTGGGGATTGAACTCAGGTAGGTTGTCAGGTACTAGGTAACTAGCACCTTTACCTGCCAAGCCATCTCAGTGGCCCCCAGAACTTACTTGTGCTTATGAGTAACAGTTGATGTTTGAGAACACAAAGATGACCCAGTTTTCTACTTGTGTTTATTTTGTGTTTCTGAACATAGATGGTGAAAAGCTATGATGTGTTACCTCCAAATAAGTAAACAAATTAACTTATGAATACTGGAAGTAAGCATATTTAAAATGTTAACAAGTCCATGAAAATATTTTACAACTCATTTTAATACATTCATACCTAAAAAATTCTATGAAGTCTGGATATATTAAATAGTCTATCATGGTCCTTCCAAGGTTGTAGAACTATGAAAATACAGCAGGAGGAAATCTTGGAACCAGCAGAATGCTTGAATGCCAGAGGCTGCCCAAGTAACAGATTCTACTACACCAGACAGGTGACTTGTACCTAGAGTTATTGACACTGCACACCTGTAAAGTAATTACAGCACCAGGAGGCTGATGTGGGAAGATCTAAAGTTTTAGGTCATCTTGGGCTACATGGCAAGACAGGACAAAGGGCTGGTAGAACAATGTTCTCAGCTAAATGATGGGGGAAAATTGGGCCACAAAGGCAGAATCATCACTAGTGCTGAGATTTGCAAACTCTATCATTTCTCAATGACAGTAAGAAAAATCCAAATAATTCTTACTAAAAAATCAAAATTATTAAGGTAAAACTCAGTTGTTAGCATTACCTTATCAGTCTGACTTTATTTTTGAAAGGTCTTAAAATGTACATTCAAGACAAATATAATAAATAAAATGCCCAAGATTTAAGTTATCACCTATATTTCCTTGGACCAACTAATTGTATGAAGTAGGTACACTGGTACCTTTCTCTCTTTGACATGTTAATGCATGTTATCCACAGCATAGCCTGTAACGTACAAGCACACTATCATTAAGATATAAACAACAGATATTCCAAAGCAGGAAACTTTAATTAGCGACTCTGCTCCCATTATCCTTCGGACAGCCAGAATCCTCAGTAACCGTAGCACTGATCCAGCAGTTACACCGTGAAGATTCTCTCCAATAAGCACCACAACACTTGCTTAGTCAGCTACAACTTTCTTCTCTAAGCAATCACTAATTTCTTAAGAAAATGTGTTTGTACAAGCTTCAGGTGTTAAAATATTCTAACAGTAAATTTATTCCATTTATTATTTCATACATAATTAATAGTATAAAATGTTCTCTCTAAGGAAACCTAAAAAACACTATGAATGTAGCCAAGTTCTACTCTTAACAAAAAACACTCAATCAGTTTTCTTCCAAACTCACTTCTCCAGAAGGCCAGTCCTTAAGGACTTCTGGAGTCGAGCAATGTTGGCATCCAATGCTGCCAGGCCATTTCTGAAGTCTTGTTCATCATGAGAGGTAAACGTCGAAAAAGAGGAGATGCTCCAGTCTGACATCAAGTCCGAATTCAGAAAGCTGACATCACTGACGATGTTGCCCGTCACTGGAACACCAGAGCTTTGACAAGCTGATGGCCCATGATGTGTGGCCTGTTCTTTTGGGTGCTCAGTACCAGCACCAGCAGCACCAGCAGCACCAGCAGCACCAGCAGCACCAGCAGCACCAGCAGCATCACCAGCAGAAGCAGGTATCTTATCAATTGCTTCCTTTATTCTCCTGAGGAGCTGCATGTCCTCTGTGTCAGATGCTCTGGAAAGATTCCCAGGAGCATCTTCTGCTTCATTTCGTGAAGAACAAACTAGTGGTGCGCACGGACTATGTTCTCTTTTAGAGGCAAGTGCATTGCCACTGGCTAGCTGTGTTGTAGCAACACTTCTCATTGGCTGGGGAGACAATCTCTCAGAAAGTGGCGAATGCTTTTTAGAAGTGCTTCTAGCAAAAGGAATGTAAAGCGTATTGTCCACATTACACTCATCTTCTATTAAAGCGATAGTTTCACATTCTGTATCTGAATCCTCTACTAAAGCAGCAGAAGCCATTCCAGGTGCGAAGCCCCCACCCACTGCCCTAGTGTCACTATGTGGAGGGCCCTGTGAGGGTAGCACCTTTTCACACAGTCTGGGTGGCTCTGTGGCTTCCTCATTTGTAAGGAGCTCTGAATGCGCAAAGCTGTGATTTGTCTCCAGTTTATTTAAGTAGCTCATTATGGATGTGTGAAGAGGGGTTGGGTCCTGATGAAGCTGCTGATCATAAATATTCAGAAGAGACTTGGTTAGGTTACTCCCCAGCTTGCTGCGGGAAGCGTCCATACTGAGATCTGAGAGCAGCTTTGCCATACTACTCTGTAAAGTTCTGCCAAGAAGAATGTAGTACAGTAATTACTATGTCTGACCCAAGTCTTTAACTCATTTCTAATACTTCTACCCTTTAAAAGAAGGACTTAAGTATGAAAATTAGTGTTGGAAGGCTTTGAAAACAGAAAATTAAAACAACCAATGACAAAAGGTCTTGATTTATATCAATCTACTCTCACATGTAAAAGTAAAAGCTCCTAAGTTTTTTTCCTTACAGTATAGAAATACTTTATTCTTGAGCAACATTGCAAACTGAACCTTTGAGTTAAAATCAGCCTAGTAAGTGGTATGCTAAAGTATAGCAGAATTACTATATTAAATTAAGTATATTCATAAAACTAAGAAGATTATATACAACACTTAATTTATATATAATGGACATACATTTCTCAAAAAATTTATAAATAAAAATGAATCATTTGGAACGATGAGCTTCCAGAATCATTAAAAGAATAGTCAGGTCTACTGGATTTTAGGCCTGTAATTACTGACTACTCTGAAATGTTTAAAAGTAGTTGAAATTCCAAAGATCATCAAATGTCTCAAAAGAAAACAAAAGATTTTTGTAAAGTTTCTATAAAAGTATAAAAAGATATATTTATTTATTTGGGAAGACACTGAGTAAAGAATGAAGACATTTTAGGGCCTGTGACCAAATCCCTCACTTTACCGATGAAATGAAAAACAAAAAGTCAAAAAGGTTAAGTGACTTACCCAATATTATATGGCAGGAGGACTTGATTTAGCAAGTTAGATGCATATCATGAGTTATTTTGTGGTCCCCTGACAACTCTATTCATGTCAACTTTATAACTGAGGATTAGAGGGTTAAATAATGTGCACAGAATTACTCAGCTAATATGTAGCTCAGATGAGAGTCCATTCAGGTCTCTTTGGTGTCAGAGCCAGGGAGCTTAACTACTTCACTATACAGTGTCCAGTTCTTTGTCGGAGCCAATTGGTTACCCATAATCTACAACCCCATGAATTAAAAAAAAAAAAAAAAAAAAAAAAAAAAAAAAAAAAAGCCTTTAGATAGGTCTGGAATCTCTAATGTGATATAGAACAAAGAGAGGGAAAAGACAAAATAGGGGGTGGGGAGAGGAAGAAAGAAGGCCTGTATGGTTTTGGAGTTTATAAAGACATCTAATAAAAGGCTTGGGTTACCCATAGGAAGCAAGTTTACCTGGTTAGTTCTCTAAGTCGAGCAACCTCAGCATCACGCTGGCGTAGTGTTATTCCCAATATCTGATTTTCCTTTTCTGCCGTCTCTAATTTAAACCGAAAGTTCTTCTCATTGGCCAAGGCTTCCTCCAATTCTAAAGCAAACAACGACAAAAGCCCCTTCAGCTTCCTTACCGCTTTAGAAACAAAGACTATATCTACAGTTCAAATACACACCAATTTTTACCCTTGTCATCTCAATGTCAAACTGCTGTTTATTCTGAAGAAGAGTTTGCTCTTTGTCTTTAAACATAGTGGTAAATTTTTTATTTTCATCTCTCTGGTTTTCTATCACTTTTAAGAGCTCTTCATTTTTACTCTGTAGTAACTCCTGGCTCTTCAGCGACTCTTGTAGTTGATTTTGCAGCGACACATTCAGTGACTGAAGGGACAACACTATAAGAAAACATCAAACAGTTGTTTCCTAATTTTTAAAACACATCTAAAAAATACGTGTTTTTAGAAAAATAAAAGCTCCTAAGTTCACTGATTTCCCTCAATAGTAACAATGTTCAAACAATCTATAGAAATACTAAATATATTTAAAAAAAAGCAGGAGTAATATCTTTTTTTCCAATTGATATTTTAGTCATAAGTTGTTTTTTACCTTTAAAAACAAATGAATAATACATGTGCAAAGTATCTCAAACTCCACAAAATGCGAAAGATGCCACCAAACAATTCTCAATTATGACAAATAATTTTTTTTCATTAGTAGTCTGTGTTGGCAATGCTATTCTTCAGAACCTGAAATTTATCCTTCCAGGCCCTCCTGGAATTTGATGTTTTAGTTGGCAAATCTTCTATTATTCGGATGGGCCTGCCTTTGTATATGATTTGGTGTTCCTTTCTTGCTGATTTCAGTTTGCTCTATTCTTACACTCTTTCTTTCTCCATTAAGACAATTTGGTATTCACCTTGTAGTTCCAGTAACTGAGGAAGGAGGGAGGATCAATTGAGCCTAGAAGTCTAAGGGTAGCCTGAGCAACACAGTAAGACCCATTTAGAAGAAAACAACAGAAAAAAAAATAAAATAAAGGTCATTTGACAATATCTGTCAAAACAGCAGCTATATACATTTTGGTTTAGTAATTCTACTAGAAATCTATCCTGCAAAATGCATATGTACGTGCACAGACATTGGAACAAAGATTTTCATTTTTTATTTCACTTTTATTCACATTGTGGGAAAGGCTGAAAATACCCAAATAGATAGATAGGGTCAAACACTTCTGGCTGGGGTAGTACTTGATGTCACCTAGGCTGGCCTCAAACTTGTGGCAATCCTCCTGCCTCACAAATACTGGGATTACAAGAATACCCAATAACTGTTTAAAACTGTAATACAATTACTCCTAATTTTAAAGTAGATAAAAGCCCACTTAGACAAAGGAACTGAGAGCACAAGCCTGCACCAACATTTCTAGAATTTCTATTGAATGTTAAAAATGTTGAAAATACTATTCAACATTTCTAGACAAGGACATCAGGTTCAATCCTTAAAGTTCTTCTACGCACATTCAAGGTTACCAGGTGTCTTTGGAGTTTTCTCTTCTCTGAAGCGCTGATTCAAAATTCTTAGTTGCCTAAAGGAAATAATGAAGATCTATAAGAATCCTAAGCCCATTTTACAGTATATTATCCTGGAATGTTCAACTATGTAAAGATGTGTTACATTTGTTTCTGCTGCCTTTGCTAACAATGTAAAGATGTGTTGTATTTATTTCACCTTGCTTGCCTAAGACACCTGATTGGTCTAACAAAAAGCTGGATGGCCAATAGCTAGGAAGGAGAGGGATAGGCTGGGCTGGTGGGCAGATAGAATAAGTAGGAGGAGAAATCTAGGCAGGACAGAAGAAGAAGAGAACAAGGGAGAAAGAAAGGTGACACATCTGGGGCCAAAAACCAAGCATCTGCCTGCCAGCCAGCCAGCCATGGAGACAGCAGGAAAGTAAGATATACAGAAAGAAAGAGGGTAAAAAGCCCAGAAGAAAAATGTAGATAAAGAGAAGCATTAAAGTAAGAGCTGAGCATTTATAACTAATAAGTCTTGTCAAGATTTGGGAACTAGTTGGTGGCCCAAAAGAAAGTCTGCTACAATATTCATCTGATAGACTATCAAAACTAAATATATCTACCAAAAAGACAAACACTATCATCACTAGTCCATCTCAAACCCCAAACCAAACACAAAATCTAAATGAACAAAACAACAAAATCATACTATTCAGGGCCCATTTTTAACCCCAGCATCCCCTACCCAAACAATTGCCTTTTATATTCATATATACATATATGTAGTGGGGGTGTGTGTGTGTGTGTGTGTGTGTGTGTGTGTGTGTGTGTGTGTGTGTGTGTGTGTTCACTCTCAATAAAAGTTCCAAGACTAGCCTTGATCCTGTAATCTTCCTGCCTCAGTATCTTGAGTAGCTGGGACTACAGGTCTACACCACCAGACCCAGGACAGACAGGTGTAGAAAAATTATTCAGGACATCATAAACCTGCCCCACAGTTTCCAAAACTGACCTGGAACTCAGTATTGTAGCTCATGGTGGCCTAAACTTCAGATGCTCCTACCTCAGTCTTTGAAGTACTGGGACAATACTCATGCACCACATGTCCAGCTGGTTCCTTTGTTTTCCTTATCTTTACCTTCATATCTCTTCTTTCAAAATAATACATATGTGTGTATATATACACATATACAGTATCTTTACTATGGTAGATTACCTTTTAAAGTAACTCATTGCCGTCTACTAGAATACCTGCAGGTGCTAGCTACCAGACATATTTCTGCTTCATGTCTGTGATACATTAACAAAGTTAGAACACATAAATCTATGCTTCCAGTAATTTCATTATTAGATGTTGGTATCAAGTCTGTCTTCATGATATACACCTGCTTCACAAACAAGACTATGTAAGTAGGTACTGATCAGGACAAAGCAAAAACTCTCTGATATTTAGTATCTTTCCAGAATTGGAAACTTTCTGAATTGAAGTATTTGATTTAGTTACTGAATCTAAAATGATAGTACCCTTGCCAAAGACCATTCACAAGTATTAATTCTGGTTAAAGAGTTAAGAACACAAAATATATCAGTAACACAAAATCCAACAACACAAATTTTATAAGGAAATATAAATAATCTTTAACTAAGGAAGGCATCTCTAAGCAAGATTTAAAATCCAACAACCATCAAGTAAAGAATACAGAGTTAAACACATCATAGTTTGAAGCTTGTTTTAGAATTGAAGTTCTGGAAAAAGAGCAAGCAATTCATCTAAGAAAGCTAAATGATTTATAAGCATTTAAAAACCGCTTAGCTTGGGGATGACGGATGGCTTACCACAGAAATAAAGGGCCTGGGTTTGGATTTCTAGTGCCCACATGAGAAGCTGGGCATAGTGGCACGACACTCACCACTGGCCTCTACATGTACACACATACATGAATGCACAGAACACACACACTAAAATAAACATACAAAAATTAAAATAAAAGGAAATAGCTCTTCATTAGTGACAGTTTAGGAAAATTTTCTCAGTCTGTATGAGTTTATTGTAACCATTTGGATGATAGCTTGGCAACATCCAAGCTATAAAATAGATGTCATTTTTGACAGTTTTTAAAATTAATTTCATTTTATATGCATGGGTGTTTTGCCTGCATGTATGTGTACCACATGTATGCCTGGTGCCATTGAGGCAAAGGAGGGTGTCAGACCCCCTGGAACTGGAGTTACAGATGGTTATCACTGTCATGTGAGTGCTGAGTAGCCAACATGAGTCTTCAGCAAGAGCAGTAAACACCCTTAACCACTAAGCCCTCTCTCCATCTCCCGTACAAGCTAGTTTTACCTATAGGTTATTTACTCTGAGAAATAGCTATATATATGCAAAAGCATATAAAACATAGGTATATACAAGATATATATTGTAATATTTGACAAGAAAATGAAAACTTAAGACATGATACAAGTTATGGTTCATCCATATGATGAAATATAGATATTGAAAAGCAATAAGATTATATATATATATATATATATGTGTGTGTGTGTGTGTGTGTGTGTGTGTGTGTGTGTTGTGTGTACCAACATAGAAAGATCACCAAAAATGACTTGGGGACAGCTCAGTGATATGGCACTTGCAAGGCATGTGCAAGGTCTTGTGTTCAATATGCACTAGTGGAAAAAAACAAAACAAACAAACCTCCGAGATACACTAGAAAGTAAAAAGTAATGAGTGGTAAACAAAACACTGATTTTTTTTCTAAAGGGCTCCCTTCAATTACAAAACATGCAGATCTGGAAACGGCAGCACAGAGTGATGACCAAGAATGTAAAACAGAATGCCTCTTCTGGTGTCTCCCAGAAAACCAGCAGGTACCGTATATGGGAACAATTTTTTGGTTGTTGTTTTGGTTTGGTTTGGTTTTTGTTTTTTTGGTTTTGTTTTGTTTTACAATCTTTTGCATGCTGCTGTTCAGGTTCTTCTCTTTTGAAACATTAGCCAAGGTGAACTTTCTATCATTCATTATAAGTCCCCCATGCCCACCCTTGTCCTCTAAGTATGATACTTTCCCATTTGCTCTTAAAAAATATGGTATGAAGGGCCTGGAGGTGGTTCAGTGGGTGAGAGCTTGTTGTGTAAGCATGTGGTGCTGAGTTTGAATCCCACCATGCAAAAAAGCTGGGTATGGCTGTACATGACCTTAACCCCAGCACCTGGAGGTGGAGACAGGAGCTCACTAGCCAGCCAGCCTAGCAAAACAGCAGTCTTCTGGTTCAGCTCCAGGTCCCATCTCAGATGAAGAGCCACAGAGGAAGGCACTCAACATCTTCATCTGGTCTACACAAGTGTGCCTGTGCAGAACATCGTTCGTTTGTTCGTTCTTCCCTCCCTCCCTCCCTCCTTCCCTCCCTCTCCCTCTCTCTTTCTCTCTTCCCCCCCCCTTCCTCCTCCTCTCTCCTTCCCCACTGCTCTGTCTCTCTCACAGAGAGAGCCAACTACAAACTATGGTACATTGTTCAGGACTCACTGCATTGGGGGATGGTGATTTTTGTCTTAAGAAGTTTATTTTAAAGCCTGGTGTTGGTGGCACACACCTTAGTTCCAGCACTTGGGAGGCAGAAGCAGGCAGATCTCTGTGAGTTTGAGGCCAGCCTGGTCTACAGAGTGAGTTTCAGGACAGCCAGGGCTGTTACATAGAGAAACCCTGTCTTGAAAAAAACAAAAAAACAAAACATACATAAAAAGAAGTCTATTCTAGACCTATCTTCGTCCTTGCTGCTCCTTGCTCTGAATATTACACACATTCTCTCCTATCATCTTTTCTGCCTGTGGCTTGTATCTTAATTTTCTTGTTACTTCCCTTATTGCTTCTCCCTAGGGTTTTTCATGGCTGCTTTTCTTTTGTTCTTTCCTTGTAAAGCTGTAATTCCCTACAATTAATCTTGTGCTCATGGTCTATACCTACTTGGTGAATTCATCAGCTAGATTCTAAAAACAAATTACTTGCATTTAGCCGCTATCTTCTCCAGTGCCTACAAGGCTAGACCCATGGTCAAAGCTCCGAAAAGTGTTCAAATTCCCAAATTTACATTTCTGGCTTGGATCTTATTCTTATGTTCTTACTTACTCGTTTCTCCATACAACAGAGTAAATCTAAATTTTAACTCACTCGCTCTCACACCACCTCTCCTAATTACAAAATAAAGTGTGGGAGGGGACAATCAGAGAAATGCACTCTTCTCTAGGAGTTCCCATCTGGAGGTACTATCCTACCATCTGTCAAGAAGACAAGATAAGCCAGGAGGTAGTGGTGCATGCCTTTAATCCCAGCACTTGGGAGGCAGAGCCTCTCTGTGAGTTCCAGGCTAGCATGGTCTACAGAGCAAGTCGCAGGATAGCCAGGGCTACACAGAGAAACCATGTCTTGAGAAGAGAAAAAAAAAAAGACAAGACAAATATCTTAATGGCATCCTCAACTCTGTTGTGCTCTGTCTGGACTCTAATGAGATTTTATATTTGAGTCTGTGATCACAGGAAGTAATCATAAATTCCAAGTCATCTTATAAATATTAAGGTACTCTCTAGACTGATGGTTCCTAATACGAGATATTCTACTCTGAACCTCCATCCAGGATCTTTTGGGATGTACTAGGGACTTCTATAGTTAAATTCAATAAAGCATTACAGATTACAGATATCTTGTGGGTTGGGAACAGGAAGAATAAATGGAGACAACTGTGTTTCAGATATCCCATAAGATCTGGACATTTCAAAATGCCCAAAGTACCATACGAGCAATGCACTTAGCAGTTTTTCTTTTTACCACAAGATGGCAATACACTTCAAGTTGTGTGGGGGTTGGGTGGGAAGGGAAATGATCCATTTTCTAGTTAAAAACATGTAGTTTGCAAATGTCTACAAAGATAAAAATAAAAACCACTTCTAAATAAGCATACCAATTCTAGTTATTGTTTATAATGAGATTTATGAATGATTCTTTTCAAATAAAGATTACAAAATAGCATAAAATTCCCACATCGCTACTGGAAGTCTCTAGTCTAGGGAACTCTAACAAATTCATTTTTCAGTAATTTTATCCTGTAAAAGGTCAAGTAAATAACAGTGGCAGGAGAATGTTATACAGTCATTTTTCCCCCTAAGGACAGACAGCTAGAAAGCTCTACTGTCAATCCAAAGCAGTAGATATCAGTTAATTTTTCTAAGTTACCCTTATAAAAATTAAAAACTAGTGACAAATTAAAGAGTAAGCCTGCTTTTCATGAGTGGTTTATAAATGAACTCCGACAGCAATTCTAAAATGAGATTTCCATGGTGACAATGCTAAAATGATAATTTTCTCAGGCTAGGTTCTGGTATGCTTAAGAACCCGATTATTGTATTATCACTCTTTTAAATAATAGACATTTATTAGTATTATTCTTTTGCTCTGCAAACTATAAGTCCACAGCTAAGATCTGGTGTTCTAAAATTAAATCACCTTGGAGTTAAAACTAAATTCCCTCAATTCCTAAATATACAACCTTTCTGTGCCTTGGTTTCCTCCCCTTTAGTTGAAAATGGCAATACTTTATAGAGCTACTAGGAGGACTCAAGTGACAGCATATATAAAGAGCAATAGCCCAGCACATGACAAACATTCAATAAATGTTACTTATTCTTGATCTTAATTTTGAAAGATTAATACTGTTACAGGGATCCCTCAGATCAGGACTGATGACAGTATTATTAAATGCACCAACTACCCACAAATGATCTCTTTCTAGATGTAATCTCTGTAGGCTACAGACCCTGACTTTAAACTACTCTCCAACTAGGGATCCTACTTTACAGCTTTCAAGTCTCTTGTAGGTCCCTGCGAGTCCCATCTAACCTCCTGGTGACATTGTCAGGGCACATTCACAATGCAGAGCTGCAGAAGCATCTGAAAACGAACTCCAGTACAAAGTACACCATCAGATCCTAGACTACAAGCTTTAGTGGTTATCCCAGAAACACTGAGAGTTAAAACAATACCGATAATATACGGGTGATTTCCCCTACATTTCAAGATTACCTCACTGGTTTTGATTTTTTAAACAAATTAAGAATATAATTTCATTAAGTTAATACAGTTAAAAAGAAAAAGTATATAGGAATTCAAGTAAACTTTGTTCTATGTCTCAGTGTGGCAGGGCTACCAGCACTCAGCTCCCCCTGTCAGGTTCTCTTCCTTGACCATATGCTCCAGGCATTTGTATCAGGAGGGAACATTTGAGGTTTTAGGTTTTAGACTACAAAATGTTAAGGACAGTGAGATGTTACTTCTGGTCCAAGACATGTAAGATTATTATATTCACACTCCCTGTCCCCACCAGTCCCACTGAGACAGTGGCTTCATAAAGTAAAAAGAATCCCAGATTCTGAGTCAGATGAAAAAGAGCCTTCGGTGACCCATGATATTCTTGGAGAAAGAAAGAATACACTTTTTCTGTGACTTAGATGTTTGTTACTGTAAACTAACTTAGATTAACACAGAAACTACATGAATCAGCTACATCTTCCTAGGTACATGCATGCTGACAAGTGACATCAAGGATAAAATAGGTGGGAGAAAATGTATCCTAGCAGGCAGAAGTAACGGAAAGTTGGAGAATGTAGAAACCTTTAGAAGATGAAAAAGGAAAGGCATCAATATCGAAAGGCTATAATCTGCGTTCCTTATGGAGTCCTAGCTATCTCACCTGCATCTGTGCTCTGGCCGTGGGACACCTTTACCTCTAGACAACAATATTCAAAGAGCGCATCTTACCTTCGCAACTGAGCGTTCTCACTTCTCAGTGGCTGCAGGGCCAATGCTATTTCAACTTCTATATTTGTGTGGCCACTCACTGCTGAAAGTCCAGATATGCATGCCTCTACTTCTGTTATCAATCTCTCAACTTCTGAGTCCTCTATAAAAGGCAGTTTAGTTTAATCGGTACTTTAAATTGACAAGATTATTAGCATGTGTTATTAAAAGTCTTTATAGATAAATACATACTCATTATAGATTTTAACTTCATTACTCATGAGTTTACACAAATTCTATTTGCCTTTATCCTATTGTCTACATTTGCTTACTCAAAACAATTCTACAGAAGTTACATTGAGTAAGGAAAGATTAAGCTTAAATCACAATATTATTTAGTGATTATTTTTCAGTTAAGGGAAATGGGAAGCAAATGCATGATTTATTGTATATAACATGTTTTAAATTGTGTATGTATACTACAATAGCTAAACTGAGTTAACAGACATGCATTGCCTCATATATTAATTTTTTGTGTTGACAAAGCTAGCAACCTAATCTCTTAGCAATTGAAAATTACACTGTTATTTACTATAATCAGTCACTATGCTGCACATTAGATTTCTTGCTTTTAAGTCCTTCCTCCTCTCTAATTGAGATTTTTTTTATTTATTATACTTTGACCAACATTTCAATTACTTCACTCTTGAAGCCTAAGCTTCTTCATAGTTAAACAGAGCTAAAAAGCAGTCTGTCATTAGGTTAGTGAGATTAGAATGAGATACTGTTATCCAAAACTCAATTTCCTTCCCTAAAGTGTAGCCCATTATCAGACTTCTGTGAGACTCGGGTGAGGTCACTCATGTGAAATATAACACATTGCTGGGCCATGGTGAGTATTAAAGACTTCTAACACTGGTATAATATTACCACCACTATTGTGATCTTGATTAAATGTTTGGTTAAAAGAAGAGAAAGAGCCAAGTGTGGTGGTATACACTTAATTCCAGTACTTGGCAGACAGAGTAGGTAGGTTTCTGTAAATTCAAGTCCAGTCTGGGTTTACACAGCAAGTTCTGGGCCAACCAGAGCTATACAGTGAGTCCCTATCTCAAACAAAAAACAGAAACAAAAACAATCCTGTCTAATCTGAAGCTCTGGAAACATAACAATTTTAGCACACTTAACCTAGCTCTTAACTATGCTGTATTTTCAAGAATTTTAGAATTCTGTATGTATGTCAGCCTGTATAAATGGCAGCTATTCTGTTAGTTCCACAATCAATTACTGTGCTTTCTACTCAAGGCTCTGAGTATTTGTAATTCATTGCAAGCAAAAGCCACTACTTCAGAAAAATGCATACTTAATGAAAACATAAATGTAGCTTAAAGACATTTTATTGGTATAAGAGAAAAATGCTAAACATAAACTAAAAGACCAGTTAGTGGCATGGGTTACTGTGCAAAGTGAAATCTGTTGAACAATTTAACAGTTAGTTCTTATATAATGGAAGGAAATTTGCATCTTTGTTAAACAGAAAAACAGTCATCTCACAACTATTATTTTCTTTCTATGGATTCTCTGTACTGGATCTTTTCAAGCCTGTCTATATCAAATAGAATGAATACACACTTGCAAGTGCTTGCTATTCCTCAATACATGTCAAGTCCACAGGAAAGAAGGGTTCCAGTCCTGGAACCCCAGCAGCCATGACTTCAGCACATGGGCAGTGGAGGAAGACTAAGCATCAAACATCATCAGCAGCTACAGAGCAAGTTGGAAGCCATCTCAAGACTACATGAGACCCTGTCTCAAGAAACAACAGACAGAACTCTTTTCCTTACTGGGTCAAGAAACAGTTCTCTGAAAATCGCCAGACACTCCTTATCAATCACTGCTATTTGAATGGCATCTAGAAAACATAACACTGCTATTAAGCATTATACTACATTACAGAAATGTTTGAAATACTTATCTACCTTGTTCTGCGACTAGGGCCTTGAGCTCTCCCAACAAGCACTTGGCAATTCTGACTTTTTCAGCAGTGTGGCTCACATTTTCTGCCTGCTGCACATTCTTGGCTATTTTTGCATCTTGCACATGCATGCTTAAATACTTTCCTTCGCTGGTGGCGCTTCCAATTTGTTCTCTGGCACGTTTTTCTTCATTAGTGGCCAAGAAGGCCGGCTGTAACTGAGTGGGGCTTTGGTGTGCCTGACTGTCCGAGAGAGCATCTTTTCCATGAGCTGGAAGAGACATATGTGTTTGGAAACACTTTAGTAGGTCTGCTGCCTTAGGAGCTCTTTGTTGTGGCAGAATCCAATTAGCAAGACTCAGTTGCTGAGGCGTTGGAACAGCTGCTTTGTCAATGTGGGAAAGGCCACACAGAATTCCAGGATGAACACTGACTGAATTCCTGGGAACATCAGGGAGGTTCACAGAGCTTGTTTGATCTTGTGATCCAAGATGGTTATCACTATCAGTCTGAACTTCCTAAGCAAGAAGAAGAAAAAACCTTCAAAAGTAGGAATAGTCATTTGTAGACTATAAAAACACAAATCAATAATAATAGAAAATAATTTTCTACCATTAAAAACCAATTTTGTTATATTTTGGCTTACAAGCAAACTAGATTTCTCCACTGCTCAACAAAGACTAGTTTTTCAGAGCTTAAGTAGCTCACTCTGCAACATGGGAACATTATAAGGTCATAATGAAAACAGATTGTTTACAAATAACATACATGCTTTAAAGACATCAAAAAATTAGTCCACATTTGGACTGAAACAAATATTTTCATTTTGAGAAACATTATAAGCAAACTAAGAGGCTAGAGAGACAGTTCATCTGTTAGGAGTACTTGCTACTCTTGCAGAGAACCTGGGTTCAGTTCCCAGAATCCACATAGCTGCTCACAACCTTCTTTAGCTCCAGTTCCAAGAGATGCAATGCAATCATGCAGGTGCTGCAGACAAATGTGCAGGTAAAATCTCCACAAAAAACAACAACAACAAAAATTTATTTAAAAAAACCATATGTACAGAACTTTAAAAATGATATATTCAGTTAGGGGTGTAGCTCAGTGGTAGTGTGCTTGTCTAGCATGTGTAAGGTGCTGGGTTCAATTTTTAGGACCACAGAAATAAAAATGGATGTGTGTATATGGAATGTATATGAACATACTATAGTAATAAAACTAGCTGTTAGTTCAATATCAAATCAGAGACTAGTGATTTTATTATACAACTTAGCTCAAAGACATTTGTCTTAAAAGAAAAATACCCACAAAATGCAGCTTTAACTATATAAAAGGCATGTGTTTAAGAAAACATAGTGAGGAGTGGTGGCACACACCTTTAATTCCAGAATTTAGGAGGCAGAAGCAGGAGGATCTCTCTGAATTCAAGGCTAACCTGGTCTACAAAGCAAGTTCCAGAACAGCCAGCCAGGGCTATTACTCAGAGAAACCCTATCTCAAAATACAAGTGAACAAACAAACAAATGGAAGAAAACAGTCATATTAATGTATTAAGTGAAAAAAGCAACATATAAATGTATAAAAGTATAGCTCTCATTTTAAAAAGAAAAATCACTTAAAAAACAGAAAATAACATGTACAGAGTTAAATGAGTGAAAACAAACTTCATCAGGGTACTAGCTGGGCTTGATTTCCTTCTCATGATTGCTTCTTAATAACACCTATTGTTCTTTTTTTTTTTTTTTTTTTTTTTTTTTTTTTTTTTTTTTTTC